TTATTTTTCATGAATTAATTATTGCTCACTTTGTCAAGGGTGGAAAAGAATAAGTAAATCGTATTGTTTTATATTTGGGCGGGAGCTTTCAAATCTTGTAGGCCCACAACATCAAGCAAGCGAAAGATTCATACATCTATGCGTGATGAGAGTGTATGCAACACATTAGACAATACTCTTGGTAATGATCGTAACTTCGGCTGTGCTATGTTTAGACGAAAGTGTCTTTTCCACCAATCAAGTGTCTCCATTGGATTATTCAGTCTTCTCCGTGTTCTCATTCATTCATTTTCAAGTTACCCCTACTTTGTACATTATATTAACAACCAGCATCGCACAACATCTTTTGCATCGAGCATACCCAAACCCGATTTCTTCTTACTCCCCTTGTTTACTTACAATCCGACGGTGCTTACGGCGAGATCCCCCCTACGCTGTTGATCAAATGTAAAAAGAAAAAAACTCTTTTGAGATGGACCATGTCCGGGAGGATCATCAAATTGATAAAAATATCGATAAAATCAAGGATCTATTACAGTAATCGTCGAGTAAATAGTAAAGACCATGTAAATGTTTCTAAAGCTGCTTTTGAAAGTGGAACTCCATTCAATGATTCAAATCACAAGGGTTTATGGGTGACAGAACTTAATTTTTTCGTGGCTGTACAACAGTTTCTAACACATATAAACGATGCCTCAGTTAATGGAAAATGACATGAAATCTCAGTTTATTGTTAACGATAGTTCTCTCAATATAAAAACAGTTCACATTGATGTTTGAAGAGCTCGCATTTTAAAATGAAAGCTCCTTTCACTCTATGAGAATTTCGTTAATACCGATTTATGCATCAAACGATCACATTCACTTAGTAGAAAGGCTCCGAATGTCTTTGCTACAAATTGAAGCGGAACGTTATAAAGCATTGGTCTTCCTTGAGAGAGTTGTTCCTTTCTTTCGATTTAGTTGCATTTGCGTTCTTACTGCCTTATCTGCCTTAATATTTTGTGTATTTATAATATGCCTGCATATATATTTTAAGATATAGTGCATAGAGATATTATATCGTTGTGTATTACATCCAGTCTTGGTAAAGGCTATTATTCTAGTCAAAAGCTTTACTACGTGTACACATAGGTAAATATCTAAGTACTGCATTGCTCTCTTAGTTGCATGGGTATCATACACATGGTGGTGAAAGCTCTATGACTGCATGGTAGCGTTACAATCAACAGGTATATAAGCAGCGTATCAACAACGATCTTTCGTTAGTTGTTTAGCACTAGCAAAACGCGCAGGTCGAACAAAACTCTTGTTCTTTACTCATTTAGTTCGCTAGTAATCTTGACTTTGTCCGCCCGGAACGGAGCGCTTAAATGTGCGCTGGCATCCTTACTTTACAAATTCCCGAAAGGAAACTCCAGCCGTATGCACTTTCAGTTTGTCAGCACCTTTCGCTTTATACGTTCGAAAGAGGTTTCTTATGATAATAGTGCGTGCTGGCTCGATAGAAAATCTCAGCCCTATAGACCTATAGTCAGCATTTTAAGAATCTTCTCCTTGGGGAACGGGAGCCTTAGAGGGTCAGCGCGCGCCAGCATCCCTATCTTATAAACTCCCAGTCTGGAAGGAATACCCTAATCGTATAAATTCTTAGAAACCCACTTGGCTGACTGATGGACGCGGTGTCGATCATATTCATTTTAGAATTAACCCATTTTTAGGCCGATAATAAATCTTCATTTTAATCACTTGTAACTTTATGTGGCCATGGACGATTTTTTCCATTTTCGCACGTAAAGTGTAGAGTCTTTCGTAAAGTAAATGCGGACAATTTCAACATTTTAACTTTTATAATTTCGGAATGATGAACAAAAATCCATCAATTTTTGTTAAGAAAAACGGATCTGCGTTCAGTTTATGCTCGACTGCGTGCTTCTGCTCTGACCAATTTGGTCCATTTGCAATACCAACCTGTGTGCCAAAAACTTCCAATGTTTCTACCAAACTTTGAGCCGATATCTTTGTTTTTTGGACCAGCAGAGTGCCAGTCACAAACACCGCAAGGATACGCAGGCCCATAGACGGGCAGACATTGCTTAATCAATTCAGAATTTCAGAGTCTCTGAAGCTCCCGTTTAAGTGTTATGTACTTTATGAAAAAAACGAAATGAGTATATCCCTATCCTTTGGTGGTGGAAATATTCGTAGAGATCTTAGTCTTTTGCCTATTAAAAGGAAACAAGCATAGAGGTCGTAATACAGGGTTAATTCACTGTACCTTGAATTTACAGATAATGAAACAAAAGAAAATGACGTAATAAGCTGGTATAGTTTAAGATTATGCTACATTAGTAAATAATTGCTAATTAAGTTGATCCTCAATCAAGTATTGTCAATAACTTCTAGGAGAAGCCACAACATGGTCATTCATTGTGAGTTATTTGGGAATACTTGCGGATAAGAAATAAAATATATATATATAAATAAAATATACCGGCGAACTATAGCTAGGTATTAGTTTGCGAGTAAGATGTGCTCTTTACATTTTGTACGTGTGGCCTAAGCATAACGATGTTAATAGTGGATGGAAAAATGATATGATTTCCGAAAAAATTAAGCTAATAATGGGTTTCTGCTTAGAAACATAAGTAACAGATAAGCATACGCCGATCTTTGTCTTTACAATTTTTTCCATTTTATTTAAGCGAAATATATGTAAGAAGATACAAGGATTGAAACATCTGTTACGTCTGTCTATGAAATGCTTGCAACGCTTACAAATAAACATCCAAAGATACATTTTATATACAACACCGATCAACGTGAATAGCAATATCAAAATCATAATAATATCGGTTTATATGTCGATTGAACTGAGGAAATAGGTTTTAAAAATTAGAAGAAAAGAAAAGAAAGAAAAGAAACGATGGAAAGAGTTCAATAATTTGTTTACTAATTTATTGAAGCATTTATTTAACGAAACAAGAAGAAATATTTTTGTCGAATAAGGACTACCTATACTCTATACCCTACACTACTTTGCTTAATGGACAAAAAGTTAAACGTAATTTTCATGCAAATACATATCTGTTAAGAAAGTCTTCTCATGGAAGCGTGTCTAACACATAAACTAACGTTAACTTATTTAATTTATTTAATTTACTAGTTAAAGATTTTACGATTTTTCACCTGTTCTCGTCATAAAAAACTACAAATTAGATTTTGTCGACCTATAAAGACTTACTTTTAATGAGAGCCTCTATGCATAGAATGCATAAGAAATAGATTTACGTGATCAAAAATTTCCTAGAAATAATTTTTATTCCCCATTGCTACTATGAGCCAACGTTCATCATAAACTAGGGTACACTATTCGTGAAAACTTTTACACGGAATCGAGTACGAAAAAATAGACCTTTGCGACCCAAATTTCGTCAAGGTTTATAGCAAATGAATCTCTCGTCATAACATATATAAAAAATTGGATATATTTACCATATAAAGGGTTTTTCTTTTTTTACGAGAACGCTTACATGGACTGGGTAGGCCGTCATATGAGGAATGGTTGAAACAGTGTTTCGAATCAATCCGTTTTGGATGGGTTTTATCCTTGGGGCAAACCACAAGAAACGTCTGAAAAATAGCGATTTGTGTGCTGAATACAAAAGTATACCGGCATGGAACGACATTCGATGGAGAGACGGACGTATAACATTAAATCAATATGGAAAACGATCCTGAATTGATCGGATGGTTTCACACAAATTTAACACATCTCGGATTACAAATGGTGTAGCGGACTGCGAACATGTGGCGGCCATGCAAGAGTGAAATTTTTATAAATTTTTTCTTTAATTTATATTATTTCGAATTAATGACGTTTTAGTGAAAAATTGGAAAATTATCGCAACATAAGCAAAAAGAAGTAATTACAAAGTAATTTTGAAAGCTTTTAATATTTTTCACAATTTTGCCGCCAAAGAAGACATAGATAATGTTTACATTAGAGTAGGACGCAAATATTGCGGCCTGAAAATTGCTAATTCTAGTTCTAATTTTTAAATTCCCATAACCTGCTTTTCCGTATTTATATGCACAAAAACATACGCGCACACACCCACACATTTACGAATGCTCGAATACTAATACATGCGTAAAGATAAGGTTAACAAAAAAGCCACACTTTTGCATCATAGTTGCATATAAGTTTTTTTTTTTTTTTTTTTTTTTTCAAAAGCAATCATCGTACATAATAAAGAGCTATTAATCAAAACCCAGTCCACCCTCTTTCCATTGGAAGGAGATTACTGTGAAATGTTGTGTATGTTTATTATATGGGAGCGCGTGTATGTTGTGTGTATACACTGAAAATATTAACATAAATTCTTTGGGAAGCAACTCTAACGATGTCATATACATATCTCGAGAGTCGTTTAGTTATGATTCCACTTATTTATATATATATATATATATATATATATATATATATATATTGTCGACGGGTCCTCTCTACGAAATCTCTATATTTTCATTTCGTTTCCTAACATATATAGTTGAAATCTTTATGGTCTTATCTTTGCTTAAAAAGCCTTTTCAGTTTTAAATTGAAAAGTGTACAAGTGCTCAAGTATTTCCTTTTTCCCTCACAGTATGTCATTAATTAATTATGATTCTTGTGGATTTTTTCTATGCGTACATATATATATATATATATATTTTTTTTTTTAAACATAATTATTCTCTTTAGTTGGCATTCTTGCGTATTTATGTCGTTCAGATAGTTATTCTGTTTGCGATTGTTGCAGTTGTCTTTTTGCAGCGGTCATGTGCATTATTTTATATCTATTCGTGTGCATTTATTAAAGCAGTTAGTTGTTTATGTCATTCCAAATGTTCGCGGCAAAATAGTTAATCTCAAAATATAGAATATTGATTCCAGTTCCACGTCAATTCAATATCATTTCAAATAATCTTTATTAAAAAGAATAAAAACTAAAAACAAAAAAAACTTTCCAAAAATGTCACATGGTGAACGTAAAGGACGTCTAAGTGTGGTGAAATTTCTGGAACTGGTAATTGATCATTTACACAATCTCAAATTCAAAATTTCATATATTTAAGTAAACATATACAGTCTAAAGTTCACTTTCCCCCCTTTTTGTTATAATCCTCTAAACAAAAAAAAGAGAAAAAAAAAAAAGTCGAATTTCAAATCTCATTTTGAGACACTTTTTATCTTTTATTGTTGCTATTGATTTTCACAATTATTTTTAAGAGTTAACAATAAAAACATTACTCAGATTGACAAAGTCAGTGCAAATTTATTATTTCTCATAGTTCGGGAGCAAAAATGTGTTATGTTTTCTCGGCTACCACAGCTGGTTTATTACATTTATCTAATATTCGTAATATATGGAAAATGTTTTGCATCGGTATGAAAACATATGTCTGCGTTAGCGAAATTTGTTCTTAGATGTGCTCATCATGGTTAGCAAAAGGCTGAGAAGTGCTTTAAGCTCTGCAGCTATTGAGCATCCTCGAGACTTTCTTCTTCAATCTTAACAATGATATCAAAGATTTCCTTACATAAATTCCTAATAAATGCGATCTGTGTTCTCGCTTGCAAATGCAAAACAAGTAAGAATGTTGTAGTCGGGCAAGGCCGACGATTAGATACCCTATGCCACTTCGACGACAGTACAGTTGTTCATTCAAATAATGTACATTATATTCATGCAAAGGCATGCTTGTCATGAAAGCCCGCCTATTGGAGGATGCTCAAAACAGTATAGGGCGTGAACCAAAATTGACTAAATTAGCCTTTCGTTCTAGATAACGGCTTGCTCGTCCTAATAAGCCCTACATATGCTAGGGTCGTCAAAGTAGACCTATCTCATCCCAATACTCTACAGTTAATTTTTTTCCAAAATTGCTACTATGGATCAATATTCACCATAAAATGTTAAGAATCGAACAATTTTCTAAAGGGCTTACTACTCATGAAAAATCTTTTATGGAGTGGTATCTAAGCAATAGAAGTATGTAGTAAAAATTTGTGCCAAATTACTATACATTAGCAATTGGAACTCTTTGACATATATTACATATTCCGAGAATCCTTATATGCGATGATATCCAAATAATCATAAGACATACGTGATCTAAATACTGTAGGCTTGAAGTTTTTATCAAGTTACTATTATGAGTCAATTTTCATTGCAAAATATTAAAAATTAGATCGTTTTGCCATAAAAAGATTCAGTTTTCGTAGAAACGATTATATGGGAGGAGGCTCTAAAAAGCTGCCTCAGGCGAAAGGAATTGTTGATACCAATTTCGAATGTCGCTCGTTAATATTAACCGTTTTTTTTTTTTTTTTTTTTTTTTTTTTTTAGGTAAAGGTCTGATATATAGATTGGGAGTTAATTTAGCTTTTTTCGGTCGGGTGTATACTTACGAAATTAGGTATTCACTGACTTTAAAATTTTTTCCTTTTTTTGTTTCGGAAAATTGTTGAGATTATGCGATCGATGATAACGATCCAGAATAGTAACTTAATATATAAATTTGCTATTGTAAGTTTGCATTACTTGGTATATTTTGCTGCTTACTTACTGACTCACGGCATACGGACTCTCATTAAAAGGAAATCTTTATAATATAAGAAGAGCTACTTTTTGGCAACTTATGATGAAAAACACGGAGTTATTTTACCATCATCATGCACAGATGGATGTATATTTATATTGTTTGTATTGTTGTTATATTTGCGGTATATGTTATGCTGATGCTTATGTTTATACAAGATGTTCCGATTACCGTGTAATGAATTAAATATATTTTCTGAGCTTGAAAATATATTTATTGATAAGAGCAGAGTTAAGTAAGGCTTGCAGAGAATTTACTTATATTTCCTATCGCTCCTTTGCAGTGAAACGAAGCGAAGGCATATAAAAATTAAAACATACATACATCTCATACATTTCATTATTATATACAGCATATATATAAGCACATATAAGTTACAACAATTTAATCCCTTGGTGTGGATATGGAATGGGTAAAGGTATCTGTTTTTATATTCACTGTTGAAATTGGGAGTATGTTAAATGCGTCGTTCTTTGTGCCCAGAAATACACCTCAAATAATACATATTCATCTATTCGACACTCTACTTATACGTGTATTGTACACAGAAATTGGCAAAGAAGGTGAAAATTTGACTTCGAAATAGAGGTGTAGACCTTTCACCGATAAGTTCACCTATAGTGAGAACACTAACGTAGAATATTAACGAATATTGGTGTAAAATATTTTAGTAGCCATCTACAAATCCATGTGAAATGCATTCATACAAGCACACAGTAAAAACACAGTACTTTGTAAGGGTTTCAAATATTCAACATAACATAGCCTGAGATTTTTACTTCACTAAAATATTTCGTTGGAAATTTTTGCAAAAAATCGAATTTTTCCTAATCCTCACGGGTCTAAGTGAACGTAGACTGCTATATTTAGCTTAAACGAACGAGATATGTTTGATCAAATACGAAGAAATTGTATAGCTCTTGTCGACTCTTTAGCGTATATCACATCTTAAGTATATTTTTTTAGATGCTTAGTAAGATTTTCGTACGAGTTAGCGATTCGTTAAAAATAGTTTATTATTAAGCTCTTGTGACCAACACATAAGGCATGATTGAAAGAGGATTGAAAGTAGCCCATGTTCCCGCTATTGGATTATTGACTTATTACGTTTGAATAACGAGCAGTTGTAGATATGATAAATAATTTGACACTAAATGGGCACTAAGCGCTCTCGCTTTTTTATAATATGTTTCTTTCGAGTGCACTTATTTGTCAATTTACGCGGATTGATATTCTAGTTCCACTGGCATGGCCATGCATTTCTTTACATACATATATTAGTTCATTTAATTTTATTCTGTCTATTTTTTGGAATTTTAGGGTTTTGCCATCGCTTGTTTAACGTTGCATTTCTACAGTTTCAATGATCGGGATATTATTACATCTTTTCTGGCTACGGGGACATTCACCGGTTTCATTATAGTAGTAATAGGCGTATTCGCAGGTGAGTTTCTATAATATTGCTTGGTAAAAAATATTTACGTCTATTTTACGTCTTGCTATGTTTTTAGGTGTTTTAATGCGTGCTCCTATACATAAACGAATCGATATATTTTTTAGTGTTTTCGGCTGTACAATGTTCGTGGCGTCAGGAATTTTTATAATTGAAGCCTGGGAGTTTTCGTTTCGTACGCGCACCAGAGATTTAGCGTTAATTAAGGGTTCACTGGCGATAGTAAACGGTGTTCTTTTTGGCTTTGATGCAATATTTACGTTTCGCGATAAGTAAATTATACTGATTTTACATAATTAAGAATATTTTTAATGAAATTTATATAAAATCCAAATAAGATTACAATTGAGTTGAATATAAAATAAACAAATTTTCACGTAATTCTTTTAAAAAGACTCCAAGAGAGTATTGGGCAACGAAATTTTTTTTTCTCATAAACGCAAAGATTGTGTTCGATGGGGATAAAGGAAAAATTCACTTTCTAATAGTTAAAGATGAAGACTTGTTTCGCTTTCAAAACCATTGAATTTCAGTTCTTCAGTCAAAGGAGTCCTTTCTTGAAATGTGGCGTTGGAAGATCTGAAAAATACTTACATAGGAATGCCTTTAATTCTTTACTAACCTTAGAACAATTCCTAGCCACAATCTCCGTTACTTATGAAAGGAAGTGGAAGTCAAAAGACAAAAGGCTACATTTAAAGAATGGGCGAATGGTTCTATGGATTGGACATGAAGTCTGTTAGCATATGATTAGTGAACCAATTCTTCGAACAGTTGGATTAGTTTCTCGGTTACAAATACTTCCTAATATAAGCAAAGCTGAATGTCAAAGACATCCGCATCTGATTAAGAAGATCGATGTTCGCGCACGAAACATTGAAAAATTCATTAGGTGTAGATGTTTTTCAAAGATATGGGATCTAGCTGGCTATGTCTGTTCATCCAATCATTTGGCGTCGAAGTATACGAAAATATATGTAAAATGTATATAAATAAATTCCTTCGTACTTGTTACAACGCTTAATAACCAAGACATGTACCACCATTATCTGTGGTCTTTTGCTATTTACCGGGTAACTTATGAATGCCCTCGCGGTATGCGGATGCCCTTGCCGGCTGGCGAACATTGCACAATTTCAACTTTTGTCAGCCGCTGACCTATTGAATATGACTGCACATTGTACTACATCTATATGACGTCATCAAATAAACGTTTTTTTTTTTTTTTTTTTTTTTTTTTTTTTTTGTAATAAAAGGTAAACGGTAAAGCGTATTCACACTAGTTTTTTTTTTTCTTAGATATTAGTTCATGCCATTGTTATTCAAAAACTAATTTACCTAAATGGTTTCTTGTGAACTTCTGTAAAAATTTACTCCAAGAACATTTGCGGCTTTTCCATACAAATCTGCTCGTATTTCACCAATAGCACGATAATCTTGGCGAGTAAGATTAATGATGGCTCATGGTTTATAGTAGCAGGACAATGCTCCAACATAACCCCAAAGCATAACACCCAAATGAATTGATTTTGTTGCGCAATGTACGGCATGCTGGCTGTCACTCTGTTGAAGTCACATATCGTCTAAGTTGAAATCGTCTAAGTTGTTATTGTGTGCGTCATTGACCGTTATTGCAATGCCATTTTCATGGTCAAAAATGACAATTTTAAGTCAACAAATCACGCCTTAAAGTTATTTTTGTAAACGGGCCTAAAAGGGTTATAATCCTTATTTATCAAGTCATTTAAACAAATATGAACTTGAGGCCAGGGGCACGAAGCGTAGTTGTGGCTTCCCCCTTTTTGGAGCAAGCTTTAACAATTTCTGCACACTAAACAACTATGCTGTATCATCTTCCGCGAATAATGGCAGGGTCCAACGATAGAGATAGAGACGTTGATCCATGTCCCAACCAGAAAAGTACTATATTTATGTTCACTTTTTCAGAACCACAAAATGGATGTCCCTACACTTTAATGTGTAACAAAATAGTTTTATTATCTGCATTGATTTTTCAGTAGAAATGATATTTAGAAAAATGTTAGTGTGTTTTATAAATTTTTTTCTATATAAAATCTTTTTCAAAAATGAATATTATATCAGGTCATATTGAATATTCTCCGCGGTTTTTCTGCGCGATGTTGTTGATGCCTGTATGTCGAGCGGCATTCATCTCATTGTCTCATGTGAAATTTCATTTCTTAAAAAAAGTCGATGATGCTTTCGCAACTGATGGAGCAAGACCGGCACGCAAATTGTCAGGAAATAGAGAGAGGTACTAAATATCAACCACATGACAGTTTGGAATTATTTGAAAAGAGCAGGCTGCAAAAAGAAGCTCGAAATCGCGGAAAAAGACGCGGAGACTTTTTAATATGACCTGATATGTATGCGGTTGAGAGGCATAGATCGAGTTAAATGGAATAGAAAGAACTTGAAAAGCTAGAAATTTCAAATTGGACATATTGCTCAATCACTTATCAGTAGACAAGGTAGACATGAGTTTGAATTCTTTTGTAAATATATTCTGAGATTGCTCAAACCTATATTTAAGAAGTAGACGGGCTTAGGTAACCGAACCATACACAATATACATATATGTGTACATGTCAAAAATGACTATTTTTGCATTTAAGTGCTTTGAAAATTTGTTTAAAACTTGTTAACAAGTTTGAAAATTGTTTATATCCTCTAATTTGAAAGTAGCGGTCTCGAATCTATTTTTGTTATTGAACATAAAATTGCTGTCCTTTTCTCTAATAATGAATTATTGAAGCATATATGCTGTTTCTTATTTGATCAGAAGAGAAAAGAAGCGGGTCGTTTGAGTTTTCTGGAAGTTTACCGTTCACATATTTTAAATGTTAAAATATTTGCATTCCGATATGAAGTATAATAATCATCCGGGTGGGCCGAAAATATTTAAAGAATTTGAATTCCATTCAATGTTGATCATCGCCACACACTCTCAACAATAATTGCAGATAATAAGATCCGCATTACAATTTGCCAAAAACGTGTTATAAGATGATTTTTCAGAAGATATTAGCAGCACTGAACTGGGATGCATTGCTGTACTTCATTCATGTATTCACAAATAATCTGCTACAATCGATTCGTTTTCATGACGATATCTCCAAAGTATCGATCGTTTTGTGGACAGCCTCAACAGATCACATGTCATTTTGACACACCCTTCGTTTTGTTCTCCAGAGAAATTAGGACAACATGTAGCCAGCGGTGCACAAGATTTGAAATTAAATGTATGTTAACACTCTCTTAAAATAATTGTGTGTTTTTTTAAAGGAAAAACCGATCAGAACTTATTTGTAAATCGATTAACGTGATGCGTTGATTTTTTGGCGAATAAAAAATTCGTATTATTTTTTGGAGAGTGCCATCAGAGTTTCTTTTGTTTCATTTACTTCACATTTACGATTTTCAATGATTTTAGTCACGCTATTTTGATTGCTTCTAGAATAATAAAATGGAACGGAATGTGGTGGATTGATTAAACAAAGAGTGTCGCTCAAACTCAGCATTGGCTTAGAAAGTGTTGTCGCAACAATAATAATTTGTCAATGGTACGAGCACTAATGATGCTTAAGGCAAATCGACGACGTAACAAGAACAATAAAAAATTCCCGAAAATTTGTTTCTCCTATCGAAAAGTGAAATAGCTATCTCTTGCAGTTCACGTCCTAGAGATATAAAAAGACAGATTGCCACATGGGTTTCACGGGGGTTCCTGCCTTGATGGCTTGGGCCACCGTGGGGGCGGATTATTTCAGCGTAATCCACGCTCCCTGGCGAGTTAGGCAATCCCTATAAACTAGGGGCCTAAACAGCACCAGAGTCCAGATTGTTTATTGCATATGGATCAATAAACCCACTCTGGTCAGTGTCGAGGCCATATCAAAAGACACTTTATTCACCATTTTGCCTGAAAATTTGGGCGTGAGAAAGTTTCTTTCTAAACGGGTACCGCGTTTCGTCACGGTCAAATTAAAGCCAATTGCTGCACCGCAAAATTTGCATGCTCGGAATTAACTGTGTTTTTTAAATTTGTCCGTGGACTTCAGCATATCCTGGCACTCAGTTTCCATTTGAGCAGACAACAAATTATACCACAACAAAGTCATTGCAATGCTAGAGAAGTCTTGGATTGATCGTCTCAGTCTTAAAAAGTGTACTGTCTACTTCTGCTACTTAGTACCGTGAATTATTGACCGATGTTTCCTAATTACATATTATTTACTTTAGTTGGATAATCATGTCTGTTTTCAGGTACCTTCATGGACCTTTAATCGCTCATCGTACCAAATGGTCCAGATTGCTTTTCTGTCATTATTTTCATAAGCCTTTTCCAATTTAAAATATTATGTGTGAGAAAATGTAAGCGAACATTTGCCATCGAAAGTATTCGAAGGTCAAAACTTTTATTAGATATTGGCCTCAAAACGAGACACCTCGAATACTTTGTATGTGCTAAATCATGAAAGAAAAGCAATGCCTAGAAGCAGAAGAAGATTATCTCGAACTATTTACTGGAAACAATTTAAAAACATATTTTTATATTTGCATAGATGTGTCAGTTATCGTCATCAATGCATAGATATGCAGAAAATTATATGGCAATTTATAAAACAATTTAATTAATGTAAATTTTTGAATAAATATTGCAACTATATATAAATCGTATACCTATATGTGAATCATTTAGCATTTAAGTTTTTAAAGAACCAGGTTTTGGAATCATATATAGCCACGCCAGTTAGTCGAGTGTGCTCTAAGCAAGTGTGGATGTAAGAGATTTGTAGACGGTGTTTGTGTGAATATAAGAGGTTTATAGAAGGTATTGGTTTGGTTATTAGCTGTTTGTAGAAACTAATGCTTTATGTGAAATTCAAAGCAAAAGCATTCATTCAATCATTCTTTTACATATATTTTATTTTTATATACATTTATTTAATATAAAATGAGAATAATTTGCAAATTGTTTTGGGGCGAATTTTCTTACATTTCGCTTCTTCTTTCAATTAATGATTTACTTTCGCTTCTTTCACAATCACAACGAACGCATATTAGAGTCGAGGTGACAGACTTTTGGCATTAAGCAATTGACAAATAATTGACACGTAATTAGTATATGGTTTTTGCGGGTTATTCCGATTCATTAAAGCTGCATATGCGGTTAAGTTATTGCAATACTTCAAATTTGCTATCAACGCCCATCGTTAAAGTAATCTTACGGTGAACATATTTTCTGCATTTAATTCAACGTACTATGAAAATATTAAGGGAAATGAGTCAACTAATTAATGGGGAATAATATCAAGGCTTTTGTTGCGATCTGTGTCAGGCTGTTCTTAAAAAACTTTTCGGTTTACTAGCAAATCGAATGACAAAAAACTTCCTTCAGATGCTAATGACGGCTATACTGTCGGACTAAAAACAAAAAAGGAGCTATAAAGCTTATATACCGTGTACACTGTCGATAAAGGCATAAAACATTTATACCGATTAATGGCACATTCACACTGCCGCAACCACCGCTTTCCAATCTCTTTACTCTATCCGTGCTATAGTAGATATCCCCTGAGTTATTGGTCATATTAAAAGGAAGCAAATAGAATTTAAATCGTTTAGTGGCGACTGAAATACTATTGCAAAGACATCATAGGGTGCAGTTTTTGGACTTTAATAAAAATAATATTGAAAGCAACAGTCAGTTCTAGTCAAGCGTTTAGGCTTGTTGAAAATATGGTTTTAAAAAAAAAGTGTTTTCAGTTTCAAAGTAAAAAAGTGCTGTTTTGCAAAAAAACCTTTTAAAAATCGGTTAAATAAAGTTAATTAAATTGAAGTTTTAAATTAGTTGATTTAGAATTGAAACTGCTGGAGAGGGGGAGAGAGAGAGAGAGGGGGAGAGAGAGAGAGAGAGAGAGAGAGAGAGAGAGAGAGAGAGAGAGAGCGAAATATATAATTTCGCGAAAAGCGCAATTAAAGTTTCAGTTGTGGGCAACTAGTTTAGTTATGTTGGGTAGTGAGTTCACTGAAAAAACCGGAAAAGAATTCAATCCCCCTTCACGTTTTACATTTATACCTCATTACACTCCAAGTTCAATTTATCTATGAACAAAAAAAAAAAAAAAAAAAAAACCAAAAAATTAGTAAAAATATCTAAAACGATGGAAATTAAATCAATTAGTAAGTAAGTAGCTAAGAAATAGCATATTTAACATGTTTATAAAAAGAAGAAACAATGTTGATAAACAATGCGCTTGAACATGCCGGGAGAATATTCTCAGCATTTTTGCGGGTAAAAAATGTACAGCAAAGACAGTAAAGTAAATTTTACTCTGAGAAATAGATTTTTATTCTCAGCATTTTTGTGGGACATCCATTAAAAATGTATGGCAAAGAAAGGAAAGTAAATTTTACTCTGAGAAATTAATTTATTCTGTGCATTTTTGTGGGACATTCATTAAAAATGTACAGCAAAGAGAAGCAAAGTAAATTTTACTCTGAGAAGTACAATTTTATTCTCAGCATTATTGCGAAGCATCCATAACAAGTGTATAGCAAAGACAGTAAAGTAAATTTTATTTTTGAATTTCAATTCATTTCATTGTGACGTGTGGGGATTTTTTATCGCATATAATATCGCATCTAACATTTAATAAATAATATACGTTACTTTATAATATTTTCACTTAGAGTTGTTCACTCACATTGATTCAAGTAACACGTAAAGTGCGATACGCAAGCTATTCACCCTGTGAAAAAATAGTAAACAAATCAAACAAGTGTGAATATTGAATATTAAAAAAAAGTAAAAATTCAGAAATTCCTTAAAAATTAATTGAAATATAATCAAGTTGCATCTTAAACAAGCATAAATATGGAATTTAATAATCGCTTATTATTGAAAATTATCGAATTGGTAAGTTAAACTTATAAAATAAATATATATGCATATTTCTGAAATTATTTGAAACGATTTCAGTTCACTTTAGCTTAGTGTTTGTGTCTAGAGCAGTTGATTTATTCAATCAGTGGTTTTTCAATTCAGAAATGAACGATAATTAACTTGCGCTCTATTAAGCTAAATAAGTAAATTAAAAATTAAGGATTGGCAAGTAAATGCGATTAACTAGATGATGCTTACTTTATAATCCAAACACGTACTTTAGTATTAATATTAAGCACTTACAGCACTTATATGTAAATTAATGATGTACGCGGTAAAGTCATTTATAAAGTCGCCTTGACTTTAACCTTCTTGACTAATTTCGTGGTAATACATATGAGGAAATATCGTGAATGCGTAACGCAGGGATGACTTAATAACAATTTTTTCTTTTTTTTTTTTCATTTTTATTATACACACACACACACACACACACACACACACACACATCATTCAACGATAATACGTTTATTTTTATATACATATATGCTCTCATCATATCTTCATGTCCTTGTTCGGCGTGAGCTGCTAAATCAAATTGGGCTATGTTCATTCATCCGCCCGTTGAAATCCCTTAGGTGGTAAATTTTTGATTAGAAAATTAAATTATAATGCGTAGTGTGTTAATGTAATTCGATCTCAAAAAAGATCTTAAGACAGGCATAGTTCTTTCACACGGTTGCTTACCATTACTCAAAGAGTTGAAAGCAATTTAATAAAAAAAATAATAAAAATAAAAGGTTTTAACAACCTATATTATTGTTATTATTATTATTATTATTATTATTACTATTATTATACATCGGATTCGTTAAGGTTTGCGCTTTTGCTTAAGAGTCTACATTTAACGAAAACCTTGACGCGTACATATTATAATTTTCTTACTTCTTTATGTAGACATTCGCGTCTAAATATTAATGGCATTATGGCCCAAAATTCATGTTTGCACTTCCTTAAAATACATATAAAATGATGTCATAATACCGGTTTTACGTTTGTAGACTTTGTTTCTCTTCCACAAAATGAAACAAGTAAAATGCGTGAAAAATGAGTACGATTTTTGAAAATTTGTTGCGTGGGATTTCTTTCTTTTTATTATAATTTTAAATTATGAATAAAATTTAAAATGATATAATTTTCCATTGTTAAATGGTTTTTTTCTATTTCCATGTGTATCCATCATTAAAATATAAAGTATATATTTGTTAGATCCTTTATTGTATGTACAAAGTATATGTTAAACATAATATTCTAAGCTAATTTAATCACATCTATATGTTTACTTGTTTTCTTAATAAATTTTTATAGCAAATAGAAAGTTTGAATGTTAGCCGATTCATATCCAACTTCAAGTTAAGATAATTGAATAATATTCTCAAGATCAAAAGTGACAATAACAGAACAGAAGGCCGATAAAACACAAACAACCTATCCATCGGGCAGACGGCCAAGAAGACATGCAGTTGAAAAGGACGGATGAAAAAACGAACAGATGTTAGCTTTTATAAAGAGAGACAAAGTTGGACGAACTAAACACAGAATGTAATTCTCATGGCCAAAATTACTTACATACATATGTTTTATAAAGTCTTCGATGATTACTTTTAGTCATTAAAGTCGTTATCAGAAAGTATGTTCTCATCTTTCAAGTGGAAATATCACCGATTAGCATTCGCGTTAAGGGCATGCTTTGATCCATATAACTGAAAGTAAATTCATAAAGCAAATAGAAATACCACACTTACCTCTCTTGTCGTGAATTATTTTGTGTCTCAATCAAAACATAATATTTTTATTCGTGGGCATATTAATTGATCGGTGGGTATCACTAGATAGCCCTGTCAAATATAATGTAGTCAGATTAAGTTAATGGATAACTGTTGGAAGTTGTAAAAAACAGCTTTTTTTTTTTATGCTCGAGTTTATAGGCTAACCGTGTACGTCGGCACTGTCACTGACAGATAAATTTCATCTCCTATACGTTTCCATATATTGCGGCCATGTTTTCTTTTGAAAAAGTCATTTATTAGGTACAATTTCTACAACATTTTCCCATCTCTCTGGCGACATGGCGATGGCTTATCAAAAAAAACTTACATTGCTTTAGTAGTGATCCAATCATCGATACATTTTTTCACTTCTTCAACTTTGTGAACCTGTGTGCCAGTCAAGCCATGCCGCATCCATCTGTACAATTGGTATTCAGAAAGTGCCAGATCTGGTGTGCATTTTGGGCGTGGCAGAACTTTCTATTCGATCCGTAACAGTGTACCTTTGGCTACTCTGGCAATGTGTAGCAGGGCATTGTCATCCTACAGTATGATTGTGTGTCTGTTAACCGCTATTGTTGATTTGTTGTTTTTGCAACCACTCATCGTTCAATTTATTCAATTGTCATCGAAAGATAACTGCGGAAATAGTTTCATTTGACTACTCGTAACACGCTATACCTTACTGATCCCACCATTGTGTATACCAAAATTTCATGGCCATGAATATTTCGCTTCGGTGTTGATGTTGACGTCTCGTCTGGACTAACCCGTTACCTTTTGACGTTGGCATTGTCTTAGTTGACCCAGTTTTCATCGTCAGTTACAGTATGCCATAGAAAACTATTTTTTTTTTTTTTTTGCCTGACAAGCAACGAACCCTCGATGTTGAAACGGTTCAAGCTAATTGGTATGGTAGCCATCTTACCTATCTTTTTTATCTCCCCCATTGCATGTAAAGATCTAGAAACAATTGATTTATCAACTGCTAAGTTATTCGAAATCGTACAATGAAAAATTTAGAAAATCTTTAAAATAAAACTAAAGTTTCGCCTTAAGGTCCTGAGTAAATATTTTGTGTTTTCATTTGGTTTACAGAAGGCTTCTACCCGTTCCTGCGAATTATATGGATTTTAATGCACATATAAATCCTAGCTAGCGTAGCATATATAACCCTCGGGGTTCCGCAAACTTGATTTTAATTCCTTTTTAAATTTCAAAACTCCATACGGAGTATGCTTTATAATTATACCCACCAATGTGCAATAGAGCGGTAGATTCATTTTGTCAAAATGTTAAAAGCATCCAAAAGAAAGAAGCCCCAAAGATCCCATAAAACATACATATACTTGGCAAGCATCAATTTCTCAACCGATTAGTCATGTCGTTTTGTTCGTTTGTCTGTCTGTGGTAAATTTTTTCTCTCTGTTCGCAAAAACGAAACAATCGGCTTGAAATTTGAAGAAAAGATTTAACGACCTCAGATGGATGTTGGTATTGAGAAGGAGCTAAATTAGTCAAAGGATACGCCCACAGTACAACATAATCTGAGACGACCTATCTGTTTTCAAAAAACAAAAATAAAAAAATGATTCGGAGACCTTAGAAAGTCTACATAATATTGATCGGTATCAAATGTGAGTCTTTCTAAATATGTTTCATTCAGCCCATCTATTCATATGATTGTTGATTGACATGGTAAATGGACTCGTGGTCACAAAGATGACGATATCTGCTGCACAGTCACAATGAAAACTTCCAATTTTAATTAACAAAAATAGAAAAGAGAAAAATCAGCCACGTCCCACGGCCCAACATTATAAAGTGCGAACATCTAGTTTGTCTCCGATTCTTGAGTCTTCCTTCGAATGGAGGCGAGAGAGTGTAAAAAAGTTGGTCACACCCGAATATAGTTTTCTTATTTGTTGATCTTTTCTTCTTCTTATTATTATTAAAGGAAATGACAAAAAAAAAAAACAATCATATCTTCGAATTACTTAATACAAAAATATAGATCTATATCACTTCCAAATATAGCGATCAAATATTTAAATTTTTTTTCTTCTAATGAATATGGGATGACGATCCTACTTTCAAATATAAGAGAATACAAATTTCTTTTATCAATAGTCGGCAGAAAGATTATATAGGATTTTTATAGATTGTTCTGGGTAAAAATGATTTCAATTGATCTACTAAAGCATTGACAATTAAGATTTGTTTCTTGATAATCGCCAGAATTGATAAAATGATGATTTATACTGAAAGTTAATCTTTTAAACACTGGACCGGTAAAGATGATTTCGAGATTGTAGAAAAAATATATACGCGATAGCGAAATTTTCGTTAAAATACTTTCAATTTCTTATCGTGTAAAGAAAAATATGCCAAATGTTTATTTTCTTCCTTTCTGTAAACAATTATGAATCATTTTTTTTTTTTTTTTTTTTTTTTTTTTTTTTTTTTTTTTTTTTTTTGTATTGTTTTCGTTTAGTAAGATGAAGTCACAATAAATATATTGCGATTAGCAGTTATCATTAATTAAATGATTGAAGGCAAAATTTCTAGGAGTGTTGATAGTCAATGAACTAATTTAGAGTAAATTTTCTTTCTTTATTTATAAGCAAGAACTCTGTTTAAATACTTGTATATATATTTGCATGAAAATTATGCCAGCAATATATCAAAGACTTGCTTTAAAATAATATTGCAACAGTTTTTGAAGCTAAAAAAGTAACAAAAAGGAAATCTATATACAATAGGATATATAACCTATAATATGTCAAAAGGAAAAAAAAAAAAAAAAAAATGAATCTATCGTCACAATATTATTATGAAATATGAATAATATGAATAAATACATCATGATCGACTTTAAAAAAAAATAAAAAAAAAAATAAAACGTTTGCTCTAATCTTATTATACATGTTTGCATAGCAAAGTGAAAAGCTATCCAGCACTGTATGGCATACGAGAGGTATCGGACTGATGAACGCATACATCATTGTAGATATTTATGAGCTTATGTCCGAAAGTTGATGATATCATTTTATAATACAATTTCTTTAGCTATGAATAGAACAATAATAGTTTTATTATACACACGCATCGGAGTCGCCTATAGTATTATGTATGTATGTGGCAATGAATATAAATTAAAACCAAAATTCCACAATTTACTCAATTCAATGAAAATTAAGCCAATATTTAATGAATAATGATTATTTTCCAAGCTGAGCATATGCATAAAATTTCATAAAAATTTTTCTTGTTATTCTCAGAAAAAAAAAAAAAATAAAAATAAATAAAAAGAAATGAAAAAAGAAAAGAGAAAAATTGTATCAAATATACATCAATTGTACATTCCTGGAAAGACATCCGCGTAAGGAATTCACGATTTATTTAACATTTAAATCAAGCTGAGGTGAAAAAAAAGCCAAGAATTTCAGGCTATCCAATGAATTCAAGAGAGATACGTTTAAACTGATTCCCACGCTGACCAAGAATATATGCATTTGGTGAGATACGAGATGCGTGTACGCGGAAGACCGTCAAGTATGAAGATATTTGCAACATGTACATAAGATTCGTCATTTTAATTAAATATTGTTTGTTTGTTGCATATATTGGGAAATCTCATATCCATACAGATTGCGATATGTAGGTAAAAAATTATGCGCACTTGATAAATAAAATATGTTAATAAAATATTAATAAATGTATAAATAATTTATTAACATATATTTGCATGTTTCCTTCATCCAGCATTGCCGAAATTAAATACTCCCCGAAATCTTTACCAAATCAATTAACAAATTATAACAATTACAAATTCAATAAAATCGCAAAGCTATCCGCAATGAATAACAATTTTCAATATGTGCGAATATCATATGAACGCTTGAAATGACGTTAACGCCACCGAGTCTATATGCCTGGAGCCGGGGGGCATGTTAATATTTTTATTCAACTTGCAATTAAAAACAACGAAGAAAATTGTATTCGGTCGTAAACGCATCTCTTATCGTCATCACCGTAACCCCCCCCCCCCC